TTCTGTTTATGGTCCCTTCTAATTAAAGAAATCAATTTGTTTTCCTAGTTCAAACCGCATGGTTATTGTTACCTTTCTAAACTAATAATTTATTTTTTACCAAAAGTGATCTTTTTTCTTTTTTTTTTGTCTAAATCATATTTTTGGCAAAAATTATACTTAGGTCAGTATTTATATGTGGAATGTATTCACTTTAAAACATGATTCTAAATGAAAATAATTGTAAACACTATAATATCATGCGTTTTTCATAATTTTCCACTCTCCTCCGCCCAACATCTTAATTTTATACATCTTTCCAGTTTTTCTCACATTGAAAGGTGTTTTTTGGAGTAAAAACCCAGTACCTGAAATGTAAGATGTAAATATTGGCCCTGGCGTGGGAGTGAAACTTGCTCACAAACTTCTTACTTTGAATCTGAAGACTTTCTATATGAGTGTCCGTGCTTCGAAGGGGGGTTTCCCCAGCGAATTTCAATGCAAAACAACACAATTAGATATGCAGAACAAAATGTGTTTGTCCCTGCATGAGACACATCCAGACTGAGGCAGAAAGAGAAGTTGCTTTTTTGTTTTTTTCTGCTGCTTCTCAGTTAAGTTTGGTCAAATGCAGCGTGGCCTCTCTCTGTAGCCTGCGGTTGTATTTGTGCATCATGATATCATCCCACCACTGTGTGTCTGGGAGGGGTCAGTCTGCACAACCCACACACAGGCCGCCACACAGCTGTTGGTTTCAACTGCCTCTGTGCCTCTAAACCTTTACTGGCACCAAGCCCTCACCCGTATCTGTTTTTGTCTGCGCTCACCCAGCCTTTTTTTCTGTTTCCTTGTTGATAACTTACTTTCACACAGTCTCTAACGGGTTTCACTCCCTTTTTCACGTCGCTCTTTCACCTCTCTGCCAGCTTTTCTCACCGTTAAAAAAAAACTTTCCAATGAGCATTTTTTGTTTTTTTTGAACCAATTAAAAGTTCAAAGTTGACAAATAATTGAAAAGAAGAGGTAGAGGTGATCTTAAGTGGTTGATGAGTTTGGTTGTGGCAATCGTCTTGGGGGAACATGGAAAGAATGAGCCAGCTTATTTGCTCAGATGATTTCCTGGTGGAGGTGTGAGGGCCGGCCAGCTCGCTGTGGGAACACAATCCTTTGCTTTTCTTGGTATCGTCGGCTAGTTTTTGAGACCACTTTGTTTCTCTCCCCCCAGTGCTCTCCAGCTTTGTTTGCTCTGGGTGGCATGTTTGATTATTTATCATAAAGGAAAAAAAGGAGTAGCCAGAGCAATAAACATGTGACTGCGCTGTATTTGGTTTTCCACAGAAAAGGCTGTGTCCTTTAGCAGATTTGCGAAGTGACCATAAAGTCTTTTGTTTGCTTTCTCATGGGGAGTTGGGCCGAGTGGAAGGAGGATCAAAAAGTGCAGATTAGTATCTCTGACAGTGTGTTTTTGTTGTAGGTGCAACTTATCAACAGACATCTGGAGAGCTTTTCTCGTCCCTTGTCTTTTGCCAATGAAATTGTTTGGACATCTGTCAGTTGTTTATGCCTGCCTTACAGGAGAGCATGTCTCTGTGATGTCTGAAAATATGCATAACCCTTGAACTCTTCCATTTTGTATCATGTTTAAACAGTGTATTGGTATGTTATGTAACAGGCCACAGTAAAGTGGTGCACCCATTGTGAAGATAAAAAAAAAGATTCATGATTTTCATTTCTTTTGTTTTGTTTAGTTTTTGCAAAGAAAGCTCAGAAATGGCTTGAAGTTGTTCCCATTCATCTTCTGCTGACTTTAACATCTGAGGACATTCGTTTCTTCTTTTAAACTGGCTTAAAAAATTGGCTAAATAAATAAGTCTCACTGTAAATAAATATACATTTTCAGGAATTTTATTTACAGATTATTTGTCATGCTTGACCACTGAATGGGACATTATAATGAATAGTTTAAGGTTTTAGCTCTGCTACACTGGTAGCCAAGTAACGACATTTCGTTGTCAAGATTCACCTTGTGTTTTTTTGTACAATGACAATAAAGGAAGTCTAAGTCTAATAATGAATGAATATGCTTTTATCTAGGGTGATATTGCCAAAAATGATATGACGATATGTATCTTAAATATCTTGATAATTATATCACAAATAATTTTCCACGTTCTGCTTTTTCTTTGTTTTGGGAGGATGAAGAGGTATCTATAAAGTCACTACATTAAAAACTATTCACATAAAAATATGTAAAATCACACAGTACACTTGATATAAGAAAAATCCAAAATAAATTTAATGTAGACTAATTTAACAAAAACAGTCTGAAATCAGCTACCAAATGGAATTAAATACGTAAATACAAAATTAGACTAACTGTTGTGCTTCAACAGTACATTAGTTTTTAAAAAAAAAAACACAATAATGTACAAAATTAAGAGTTGTGTTTTAATATAAAAGGATATCTTCCTTTTAGAAATGCTCAACAACAAAATATACATAGCATAAAAAAGCTTGTGCACGCTTCCTAATGATCTGGAACTTTGCTCATTTTCATTTCTTCCATCTGTGATGGACATTTCTGTGCTTTTGTTTTTAGCCCCATCCCTTGCAGTGCAGATTTCACCGCTTTACCAACAATGTGTGAAATATGATGTATTTATTTTTTAAGAAATATTTTATTTAGGACCTGGAGCAATAAGCAGTTTCAACTCTCCTGCCCTCATAGCTCAGCACAGCTCTGGCCTCATGGCAACCACAGGAGATTAACAAAGGTCAATCAAATCAAGTTTGGTGCAAATTGTATGATGCATGTGTGACTTAGAGCAAACCATATGCAAAAGGTGAGGAATGAGAATTCGCTATTCAACCACATTCTCAAAACTAGTTCAGCTATGACTAGTGTTGAGAGCAGGATTCACTGTCATGTTCTATGTCATGAAACGGGTTTATATCTCCATAGATCATAGATTAAAAGGAAGAAAACCAGCAGAAAAACAGGTTATTTCCTGTTGAAAGGGGGTAGGCCTAAGGTTATGTCACCATTTGACCATGAGAATGTGATGAGCTCTGATCTGTTATAACAGAAAGAAAGTTGTATGCAGCTGGAAGCTTGTGTGTGGAAGTTATTCCACCTTATTGTTTTATGGTCTGTGACCAGATTTTGAGGCAAACATTTTGATGTAGGAATAAGAATCTGATCAATTTAACCTTAAATCCCTTTAGACTCTGCTGAGTGATTTTGAAGAGTTCGCTCAGATAAAACGTGTAAAAAAAACATAATGGCAACTTTGATCCAAAATGGCTGACTTCCTGTTGAGTTTGGACTACGGCTTCAGGAGACCTTTTGGTTCCTCCTTAGAAGATCCATATGTGTACTAAATTGGGGAAATTGGGGCATCAAATATTACACATATTGTCTTTGGTGGGCAGATTAAGATAGATCACAGTGAGATTGGTGCAGCTCGGCTAAAATATGTGAAATTTAAAGCCAAATGTAGGGCAACTGCGTGACCTCTGACTTTGCTGTACCATCATGGAGGTTGGTCATGTGACAGTGAAAGTGCCCTCCAGCAAAAACTGTGCTTTAGAGCAACTGAGACAAACATGTCTTCTGAGACAAGATAAACTTCATTAGGTCAAGGGGATCAGAGATAAAAGCGACTTCCTGTTCTGAGGAGGCAGGCCTTAGATGACCACATTGAATTATTGGGAAATCCAACATGGATGACCAAATTTGGTATAGTTTGACCTTTGCATAATGTTTTGTTTGTGATGGTACACTGCTTGACCATGCATCCTAAACGTACTAAAAAACTAATTGCTTTAATAACTTTTAATTCCCTATCCCATAACTGCATACTGACCAAAATTGAGCAAGTGAAAATACCTAGAAAGAGTTTGCTGAAGTTGTGTAAATGTCAAAAATGCCCAAAATTTAACCTTTGACCTAAAATAGCTGACATTGCGGTGTTCTAACTACAAACTGAATTTCAGATCTGTACGATGTACGGTTTGTTCTATCTCACTTTAGGGGGCGCTGTAGAGCAGTTGGTCAGACCTGCTTTTGATTTAATTGAAATCCAAAAATCTTGTGTGGTGGACAATTATTTTTTTTTGTTAAAAAGAAGAAATTCTTCAAATTCAGTAGTGATTAGCTGCTCAGGCCTAATTGAATAAAGCAGTTTGGTGATGAATTTCACTTCTTTCTGTGTCCTAAAGAATGTCATTTCAAATAGACATGGTTTTTTAAGATCAGCATCTGTGCTTATAGCATTATGAATGCTGTGTCATGCAGTTACTGTCATACAGTTAGCTAAAAAAATAAATAAATATTTTCATTTTGTTGTCACAATAGTTACTACAAATTTTCATGATAAAATTTCAGGTCAATATAATCGCCACCCAATAATCCTTTGCTGCAATCACTTTCACTTTCACCTGACCAATCCCTTCATCCTCCTGAAACACAAACAACAAATAGATAAAATACACATAAGTTGTTTGCATACTGATACCAATATCTTTATTGGTATCAGTTGCATTATTTTTATATGGGCCTGATACCGATATAAAAACATAAATGACACTGGCCAATAACAATATTAAAGAAAACTAACCTTAACCCTAATATATTATACATCACTGATCTCAACTTTTTGTGGTAGTCCAAGCTGGTTTGCCTCCTGGATTCCCTTGTATTTAACTCAATTAACTCTGACCCACTCTCCATCATCCTCTTATAGAAAAAAAATATCTCCCCAAAGTATGATGCTGCCATCACCACCACTTTTCACAGTGGTGATTGTCATGTTAAAGTTATGTGCAGTGTTAGTTTTTCACAATTATGAAATAAAATACCAGTAACACACAAGAATGTTTGTGGCTGCAATGTGACAAAGTGACAAAATGTAAGAAGATGGCTTGAAAATGTTGTAATTGGAAGATATTTTACTTTGTGTTTTTCTTTAGCACATTTTTAACCCATTGTTATTGTGGTGGTTGGGGGTTCACTCTGGCAGGCCTTCCAAGTGGCTCGGCAGATTCTCCTCCAGCAGCAACAGTCCCAGGTACAGCTGCAGACTCGACTGAACACTGGGCGCAAATCTCCCAAACCCGGTGACAAGCAGCAGAGCCAGCTACAGGTAACCTGTCAAAAGCACCATCAGCTTCAAAGACAATCTCCTCTGTATTAACATGGTGTTATCGAGTGGTTTTGCTTATTTTACTTTGTGGTTTGCCGAATTCGGAAAAAAAATATCTAGTGAACTTTTGCAGCAAGAACACAGTGTGCAAAAAAAAAAGTACAGCTCAGGATTAAGTTTGCAAACAGGAAATTAGAATTAGCTGTGCAACATGTGCAGTTATGTATTTGCTGCATTATGTGACATTTAGTATAACACACACATGCACACACAAACGTGAGAAAGAAGTTGTGAAGCAGAATGTGTGTGAAAATCCAGTTTTTAAAGTAACAAAATTCCAGCCAAATTAATCAACAAATCTTTTTAGACGTTTGGGTTTAAGGAGGAGGATTTAAAAAAAAATTAAAATGGGAAGAAGGAAAGAAAGACATGCAAAGAAAAGAAAAGGAGCAAAGAAATAAGTCAGCCTGTGCGCTTTTCATCACAATCAACAGGATTATAGGAAGTGGCAGCTTTCTGCCACCAGCAGCAGGAGGCGCCACAGAGCAGCCCGTCTTGTGGGGTGGATGTTCAAGAATGTGGGGGCTTCAAGTAAAAGCAGGGATAGATGCAGGAAACTGTAACAGTTGAAAAAAATCCTTTTCCATAAATTGACTTAATCTAATTTACTTTTAATTCCAACATTGTCACGTCTGTGATGCAATATTTACCTTAATTTCAGATCACTTTCCTTCAAAGACGTATATCTATGTTTAAGAAAGGAGCGCTTGTTTGCTCCAGTGCGAAATTACATGTGACTTTAGTTCGTTGGTAATTCATACAGAGGCCCTCATTCTCTGCTTGCACACACTTGTGGATATATATAATATGTAATACCTCATAGTATCCCATCAGGGCCATACTTTTTTTTTAACAACCTATTGTTCTAAGCTGGGTTTAAAGTCAGATTGTGGAAAAACCCCTTTGTTGTGCAAATGTCTTAGAAATCGCTGAAGAGGATGAAATATGACTGCAATGACCTTTCAGTTGTGTGCATATTTGTCAGATTTCCAAAAAAAGTTGAAAGGATCAAGCTGAAGTATTTTTTTCCCCTGGACGGTGTGGTGGAGGTCGGCAGAGGGGACCGCGGCAGCAGCGGATTCCAGCGTACAGCCAGTTGTTGGTACATAGTGGAACACCAGAGCATCTCCTGCAGACAAAGACTAAATTAAAATTCTAATTTATTAATGTATACAGAGAGCTCGACCAAGCTGTCACTCAGCTATTGAAAAGAGAGAGAGACTGGCTCTCTCTCTCTCCCCCTTGTTTCACTCCCCACCTCTGTACACTTCTCGTGCGGTAGAGCTCAGTCTTGCTGGAGTGTCTTTTTGAAAGTTGCAAATTGCCTGCTTTCTAATGCTGAGTTGCATTTTGTTGACATTATGCAAAAAAAAAGAAAAGCCACAGGTTCAAATAAGTGTTTGTTGATCTCTGAATGATGTATTCTGCTAATTACGTGAGAATGCTTTGGCATACACGCGTAGGTCAAAGCATTCATGAATAAACATCAGCGTCGTTCTGAGGATGTGTTACGCCTCGTTTGTGTTTCTGTTGTTCGTCCTGGTGGTTATATTGTCTCCGCTGCTGGTTGTTTCGTCTCTTTGTGTTTTTCTTATCTTTGCATATCATGTCTGCAAAAAAGTCAGGGACAAGATGGAGCTCTCTGCCACATAATGCCATGTACTGACAGTTCCGTGGGGGCGTTCCCTATATACTTTGACATTCCCTCATTCTGGGATTTTTTTGTACTCTACACCAAGAACTATGACAATCTTAAAAAAAACATTGGGTTTTTATGGTATTACCACTCGCAGTGGGCAGCGGGTCCCCCCGCTGCCCACTGCTGCCTCTGGATGAAGATGCCGTACACTCAGCAGCTCAAAGGCTCTAATCAGAGTGGAGATGCTAGCTGCTGGGAAGCAGCTAAACATACTTGACTGGTCAAAAAACAGTAAATTACATTGACAGAATGACACATGTAATTAAAAGAATCCATGCTGCTTTAGCTTTTTCTTTTTTTTTTCTTTCGTTCTCGCACCTACAGTGGCAGTGAAGAGAGCCAGCTACTCCCACCCTGCTAATTACCATTATCAGTGAAATGGTAGGGTTTGACTCATTAGTTCCATGTGCATTTAATTAGATGCAGGCTGAAATTGGATTTAACTTATTACTTTTTCATGGATCACTTTCTTGTCATCACTTCAAATTGGATTGCAGCCCCAGGTAACTAATTATGCCAGCCGCAGGATCAGGAGTGAAGAAATAGGTAATTAGGAAGAACACTGTCGGACCCTCGCTTGATAGTTCACCAGCACCAGGGTTGGAGGGAGAGAGGGGTGAGTGGGGGGCAGACAGGGGAAGTTTCTGCTATTCTGTGGCGTTGCTCGCTGTAAAGGCTGGTTAACCACAGCTCTTTTGCAAGGGATTCAAGATATGCATCGACCCCCTGCAGGGGATTCTGTGACCCTCAGCTGGGCCTCGATGTTGTTTCAACATGTCTCTGCTTGCACATTATGCTTGTTCTTCATTCAAACCTTGTCCATTGGACAGAAGTTTACATATATGGCACTGTTGCAGAGAAGTATCCTCCCCTCCAGAAATAGTTTGAATTTTACTGTATGAATGACTGGGCTACAATGGTTAACACTTTCTATGTTTCCGTTTGCAGAAATTGGAATTGTGAAAATAAATTTGCTTAATGGAAATGCAGCAATTTTGAAAAAAAAATTCTCTGAAACTTTTTTGTGTGTTTTTTTCAGCTGTATCAGAATTTGTGTGTTTTGCAAAACTGCAATGGAAACAAATTTTTCACATCACACAAGTCATGTGATCAACAACCAGAAATTCCTACTGGTGGAAATGACAAAGAAGACAGGAGGTGGTATTAGGGCAATGTCTTATTAACATACATAAGTGTGATTTTAATTGTGTTTCTGATTTAATGGAAACAACACAATTGCGGAATTGTGTTTTTTTGACATTAGTGACATGTCCACAATGTTTAGAGCACATTTGCAATGGAGATGCAACACCAAGAGAGTTCTAGTTTCAATTTCCAGTTAGGGGTCTTTCTGCATGGAGTTTTCATGTTATTCTCATGCATGTGAAAATTCCCTGCAGGTATTCCAGCTTCTTTTAACAGACCAGGAATGCTAAGAAATTTTGAATTTGCGCAAATTCATAATAAAGATGTTTGTCAGAGGTGTTCAGATGTAATGTTGATACAGGAAATCGGACCGATATCAACCATACATGAGTATTGAATTATATTGAACTGCTTCACAGGATCACGTTACATTGCTTGGCCAATCAGTGCTACGGGGAATTTAGTGCGTGGAGTAGTCAACGGCTGTCATAGCTGTATTATGTGTTTTTTTTCTCAATTCTTTGATCCATACTAAACATGTCGAGCAAAAAAAGAAAGTGGTCAGTCGGACGAATATGTACAACATGGGTGGTCAATATGTCGATCGAAGGTGACAGTAGGTGACAAACGGAACGCCGCCAGGACGTTGAGACCAGCACTTCCTCTTCTGACAGGCGTCTCAAAATATTCACCAAGATCCAAAATGTTTGTAGCTTCATTAAAGAATAATAATTTTTAAAAAATCAATAAAATGTGTTGAAATCAATAATCTCAGTAATTATTGTTTCAACAAGGTGTTGTGCAATTCAATGCATTTCGGTTCCATTAACAAAAAAAAAAGGCGACTCAAAGACCGACTGATGAGCAGAGCAGGAATTTAAATGAGCTAATCAACCACCACTGTGTTCATGAAAGGCTTATTAATAATTAATAAATAAATATGACCCCTGGAAACCTGATATTTTAACAGACTGAATGTTATGTTTTTAACGTAATCTCTGCTCGGCTTGCGGGCCTCATGTGGTTTCCATGGCAATGGGTGTGCTTAACCACAAAGAGAGACGGAGAGTAAAAAGGTGCGAGTGGTTCTGAGTTGTTCGGGTTATTCTACTTTGTTTTCCTTCGCTGTGGTTCATCACAGCCGCTGGAGTTTCTGAACATTCAATAAACGACAGACTTGGACTGATGACCTCATTCGTTTGCAATAAACGTCACAACCAACATCAAATAGGACACATATATTTGATTAAGTTTTAACAAAAAAAATGGCTTCTACCACAATAATTATGTGAAATTAAATTAATTATATCCCAGATTCAGCAGATTTGCCTTTCCCTCTGCAGAGCTCTTTGGTTCCTCCCATCAGTCTGCAGTTTCTCATATTGATGTCATCAAACCAAATTTCAGATCCACCATAACTGACTGACAGCTGCTGGCCTCAGGTTTACAACCAGCTTCTGACTGAGAAACCAGTAACCTGCTGAAACCAGTAACCTGCTGAAACCAGTAACCTGCTCCCAGTGTCAGAATCTCACTGAGGAAGAAACTGCATTAGGTTTTCTATCACTTTATCATTTCTGATAAAACTGATGGATATATAATAGTATAGAAAATGAGTCAACAGGGTTTCATTTACAATTTTTATGTCTTCGTGTCATGAGGTAGATCTCTGCCAGCTGGTGAAAGAAAAAAAGTAGATTTTGGTCTCAAAAGGTTTGTGCTATCCTGATGTACAACATGGATTCATGTGTATAGGAGTCAGAGTCCCATCTGCATGAACTGCAGTTGAGCAACTCTAGTCTCACACCGGTAAAACTAAGAGAACACTTCTTGAAGTTACCTGGAGATGGGGAAAAGTAAAAAGTATTCATCACTCAATTTTGAGCAAGGTGATATTTTGCTCATCTGACATTTAACTATGTCAGGTCTCCTTTTCCCAAGCTTGGGAGAAAAACTAGCATTTGAGGAGTTTCTCTTTTCAAAAGGAACACACATCATGCTGTTTGTTTAACTAGCATTAAATCTTCCTGCATTTTCCTTACAAAGCTGCCAGAGATTCCAGAAAAAATTTCCTCCACAGAAGAAAATTGCCCGG